ATGCCGTTCTTGTGCATTGACACAGATATTCTGTGAGCTCAGTTTGTACGAATGGATTACAAATTATAACTAATGTATTTTGGTGGAAGACTGAGATCTATTGCCACCACTTCAGCTCTTCCTACTTAATTCTTATCCAAAGTATTTACTCAGATGCATCCAGTTTTTATAGCAACTAAAACACGGGTCTTCAAACTTGGCCTTTTTATGACTTGTGGGCTTCAACTCCCAGAATTCCTCAGCCAGGCATGCTGGCTGAGGAATTCTGGGAGTTGAAGTCCACAAGTCATAAAAGGACCAAGTTTGAAGACCCCTGAACTAAAACCTAGTTGAATGAGTGTGGAGAAAATATCTCAGCCCCCAAATTAGGTCTACATTTTTAAAGCAAGAAAGCAATATCCTCGTTTCTTACAAATTTATTTTCAAGCCTATTCTCTTTTAGACTTCCTGTTTGAAGTACAGACATTTCAGACTTCAATAAATACTTCAATCTTCTCTTGATTTACTTTTTCATAGAATGTGAGACAGGATATGGTATTATAAAATTATCCCTGGTGGCAATGGAACAAAAATCAGAGTGAAGAACATGCTGATCTATGATAATTACAAAATATAATAAAGAGAACAGTTTACACCTTTTCCATGAGTAATTCACATTTACAAATGTTGTGCTTATTCTGGCAATTTCCACTGCTGCCTATTTTTAACTAGAAAATAACAGTCAAAATGGAACGATATAACACCTTTAGTTTCTTTTAATTAGGTTGTCTCTATATTTATCTGAGGTGTTTGGAGTCACCATTTGCAGGGCTGGTGCTGAATGTGTTGATATAAGGCTGTCATTGCTGTCTTTGAAGAAGCTATAGTTTTTTTAATCTGGCAAATTCTCAAAATATTGAGAGGACTCAATATGTTACAGATTCACGAGGGAGAGCAATAGTTTATTTAATCAAATCTGGCACTGAAATAACTGAGAAAATGTAGCCCTGGAACAAATCTCCTATTGTAGTTAGAAAGTAACATAAAAGTACAATAAAAAGTCTTTGCAAAAGTTTTCTGTACTTTGATTCTAAGGCATACTGCAATTCTCTCCTGGAATCAAACCATGGAGCTCAGGAACTTTCTTAAGCACCTTCCTTCAGGATTAAGTTACAGGAGGATATCTTCACTGAATTTTAGGAGGATCTTCTGAGTGGTAAGTGCCTTGTAGAAAAGGTACAGATGATTCATGGTCTTGCCAAATGGATGCCACAGAGAGCAGAACCTGTGACAAAATGCTAGGGCTGGGTATGCTTTGGAAATCATTCAGAGGAAGCATTTGAGCTTTGTATGAGAACCATAGAGCACTGCTCTGCGGTCTATTTCAAATTGACCAATTTCTTTAAAATAGTCTGGAAAAGGTTGTGGTTATTTTAGGAGTCACATTAACTTTCATTAGTTTACTTCTCCCAGCAACCACAACTCTTTTCAGACTCCCAGGCTGTAAGTTGTAAATAGGTGCCAGAGCATGATTTCAGTTCCTTTTATTTTACAGAGCAACAGAGTCATAAACTTGGAAGAGACTTTGTAGGTCATTGAATCAACATGCCTGCTAAGTGCAGAAAACCAAATTAAAGTCTCCGTAACAGCTCTTCCTAAATGCATCCATTGAAGGGAGTTCACCACCTCATTGGATAATTGATTCCACTGTTGAATTGCTTTTACAATTGAAAATGTATTATTCTATATCCTGCATTGTTCAATGAGAGAGTACAGATCTTGACTTGGTTTTGTGTGATACCCTTTTCATGATTTGGAAGGGGGTTATCACTACTTCCCCCCCCCCATTTTTTTTAACTAAACATTCTTAGCTAAAACATTCTTGTTTTAAGACCTAACTACTAGCTCCTCATCACCACATGCTTCTCTGAATCTCTTCTAGCTTGTCCAAATCTTTCTTAAACTGTGGTATCCTAGACAGAACATAATATATGAATAGGGTACCATGTTCAATACAATACAGATCAATACAGATAGGTAATTAAAACAATATATTTTTAAACAGTGGAGCTTGGTGCATGACAAGTGAAATGGAACACCATGTTGCCTATCCATTGTAGGAATTCCTTGTGGTGATTTAGAGCTCAAGCTCTATGGCAGGTCTTTATTCAACTAGGGAAGCCCTCTATTTCAGCGGTTCTCAACCTATGGGTCACATCCCCATTTGGGGTCGATCGACCATTTCACGGGGGTCGCCAAGCAAGGCTGTCCGCCATTTTTTTTGTCCGCCATTTTTTTCCCCTTTTCCGGCGGGTGCCTTACCTCCCTTGGGCTGGGCCAGCTGGTGGTCGGCCTGCTCCGTCTCTGCCGCTTGCCAGCTACGCCTCGGCCGGCGCAGGGGGCGGAACCACACATGCNTTATTCTAATACTGAATTATCTTCTCTCAGCTTCCAAACCTCATGTAAAGTGCTGTTTTAAGCAATAAAGTGCTTCAGACCTCAAAGCCATTGTCTCTGAAGCAGGGCCTCTTTCCTTACATCCCTTGTTATTTAATTACAAATGACTGTGCTTTTTCAAGGGTATTCCCCCGTCACCACTGTGGATTAATCTCCCTAGAGAAACTGCTTGAGCCTATCTTGTTATTTTGGTAGTATCAGATGAGGCTTCTTATTCTCTTAGGCCTCTTACATTTCCCCATTCAGCTGTCCTGTTAGGTTTTTAATCTGATCCCCAAGGTATATTTCGGCCTACCCTGGGGATTTGTTTCTGGAGCTTGCTGCTTTCAAATTTAATTGCTGTTTCCACCCATTGTTTAATTATTTTATTTATACTGTATATGTTTAATGTATTTCTAGTGACAAGATGGTTCATACCTTGTAGTCAAAGTGCATAGTGATAATAATAAATACAGTTTCCTTCAATATACCGGTGTTGCTTTCTTTCCTTGAGGGAAATAGAGCCATAAGGAGAGGTGGACTTCCTAGAACCTCAAATGGTAGCTTGCTGGCTACAAACCTAATCTTGCCCTGTTCCCTTGAGGATCAAAGAAGTCCTGAAGGTGAGAGATTTCAGCCAGTTTGGCCTAGTGGTTAAATCACCAGGCTAGAAAGTGGGAGTCTGTGAGTTCAAGTCCTATCTTGGCCATGAAAGACAGCAAGGTGATTTTGGGCCAGACCAACTCTCTGTCAGACTAACTCACCTCACAGGGTTTTTGTGGAGAAAATAGAAGGAGGAAGGTATATTGGATATATTTATCACCTTTATTATTTGTAAAAATAATAAAGGTGGGATACAAATAAAAGCAAACAAACCAGCATGGGGAGAATTTTGGACATATTCTTTTTCTGCTCCTCCCAAATTAGTTCCCACGCCCTGGGTACCTTTCAGTTTCAGTAAACTCATAACAATTTAGTGTGGCTTGAAACAGGGCTGTTTTGCAGAGGCTGAAAGACAAGATGATCATGTGATCAAAGCCCTGCCATTACTATCATACACACAGATGACACTGAATCTAAATCTCCAAAGTACAAGGTTTTTTGTGCAGTATTTAATAAGTGAAAACAAAACACCTTTCCAGTTCCCATCCTAAGAAATGTTTCACACTGCAGCCCCTCAGATGGCAGTTTTGAGGGGTGGGAGAGTCTCACATTAATTTCTCTCCCATTAGAAGGCAAAGCTATGTGTGCCAGCCTGAGGTAGCTTTGTGAATGTCAACCCTTAAGCTTGCATGTTGCCTTGAGTGTGGGGAAATGCTTGGCCTGTCTTTAGTCCTGAGATAGAAATCAAGACATTCAATTTTTGTAATAGAATTAGGAGCAGTGATGACATTTGGTCCTGCGTCTCAGGCAGAAAGTGTCTTCAGCCAGCCTTATGTGGATATCTGTGGATCACATTTAAAGAATTCTTGAGAAATAGAAGTTTCTACATTCACCACATTAAAAACAGATCATAGCGGCGGCAATGTGCTTATTTAATTCAAGTTGTTCCTTGCTTCAGACTATAGCTCTATGAATGGCCTTTTAAAAAGTGAAACTTTTTCTTTTATGATGTCTGTTTTGTTTCTTCCTCCTAGGTGGGATAGTAGATAGAATATTATTTTATGGAGATGGAAGAATCTCCTCCTTAGGAAGCCTGCCTGGGAGCCCTCTGTTCTAGGATTTGGAAGCAGAGGTAGGGAACCAAATCCAGTTGAAAGATGGATTGCTTCACTGGGTCTCGTGGGCTAGATAGGGTCAGTGTTTCAGGCTTCAGAGTGAAACACAGTCTAACAGATCAGGGGAAACAGGTTTCCCCTGATATGTTAAATTGTTCTCAATACAGGGAGAGGTCAGTCTCTCTCTTTGGCTGAGAAAAATAATTCTTGAAGAATATACCTTGCAATTTTTATAGGTTTAAAAGAAACTTTCTTGCAGAACTTCTCAGCATTATTTCTGAATCCTGCTCTTTTTTAACTCCAATGAGCAGATAATAAGATGGATCATATCTGAGGGATTTATTTTTTGCTGGTATGAGTCTAGGACAATTACTTTCCATCAGAAACTGAGTCCTGCTCAGCTGGGTATTTTAAGCATTTGGATGGGGAAATTCCAGGAAATGAGGTTGGGAATACTGTGGAAAGACAAAAGACCAAGGGCAAGTATGTATGGATGAAATCTGCTGAGAAAGCTGAAGCTTTGAGAAGGTTGGAGCCAGGTGTGATCTAGTAGCAGTTCTGGTCTTTGATAGCCATGGTACTTTGCAGCTCATCTGCCTGAACAATTTGTAACAGCCTGGCTGTGACAATTCTGTCTACCCTTTCTTTCTCTCCTACCCCCTGCTATTCTTTATTTTGCTTTGTGCAGTCCCATTGCTGGTACTCTTGCTTATTATCATATCTCTGGCTAATAGTCTTTACCCAAGAAGAAACTCATCTACAGCTGAAGAAGGAAACATATAAGCAAATTTGGAAAAACAAACATTTATGTGCACTCTTTAATATTTTCCTCTAATTATTGTATGCTGTGATCTTCATTGATTATAGAACCTGAAGGCATCAAAGTATGCAAGTTTGTCTTCCAGAAATTAGTTGATCGTGTTGTTTATAGCACAGTCATACAAACTGCCCTTTTCTGTTATGGGAGAGGCAATAATTTGGTGGACAACATCCTGCAGACTCCAATTAAAGTAATTGCTGCCACTTTTGCCAACAGTGCAGTCATTGTTGGGAGCACAGAGCAAGTCATGTCTCTGCGGTCTTTTTTCATACTGGGGTTGAATAACTTTTCTGGTAGGAAACACGTCACGGGAAGACATTTTTAATTGTATCTTGATTTTATATGCCCTGTCCTAAAGTCCAGGACGGTGGAGTGCATTCTCTCAACTCTCATCAATTTTATTGATAAGCATTCTTTTCAAATTAAAATAAAAAGAAGAATATGATGGCTTCTTTAAGTCTCAAAATAAGTCAGGCATAATGGAGCACTTGCTACATCTCCTATCAGTGAAATGAGTTTCCTACAGCCATCTTTCGTTTATATGATTCTGGTGGGGAAGATATTATTGCCTCAACTGGAAATTGAACACCACTAAGACTGAAGAGGGTTGAGCCACAAACATTAAACATTTGATCAAGATGGTTGTAGAAAAGAAAATATTATTCAAATAAACCCTAAACCAAAGGGAAATGCCATAGTGCTAGGAAGACCTTTAAACTCAAGGATTTGGTAGCTATATGATAAAATTCAAAGCATATTTTTTCCTGATGGTATGACATCTGTCATTGGATCTAATATTTGGTCTTTCTCCTTTCAGTTGCCATATTTGATTTCCAAAGCTCATGGCAAGATATTGGACTTCACTTGTAATGTTTCTTAATGAAAGAGAAGCGATACATAAACTAAATTACAACAATATTCTTTAAATATTAATGCCAGACCATGTGCGCCATATATGTTATTTTTAGAAAACTAGATATTTTCAAGGGAACATTAGGAAACATTTTCCAATCTGTATTGAACTTCCCTCCATATATTTAATTTGTCAATCAGTAAGTTAGGTTTAATATATAACAATATGAAGTGTTAAATTATTACGAATGACGGCAAAATTATTATGTTAAATTGTTCTTCAAGTTAGAAATGAACTAATAATTAATTCTGATATGGGAATTCTTGGTCTAATGAAACATACCTCTGAAATATGGAGCTAAGCTTCTAGGTGATGAAGAGGGAGCAACATTTATCTCTTTGAGATTGTCAAGACTGTCAGCTATGTACTAGGTATCCTATTAGTTTGTTTTGGATAAGAAACAAGAGTTTGTACATTTCCTCTCACCTTTGGAACTATAATGCCACCAGTTAGCATTTATATAGCATATTTCAAGCCTGTAAAGTAATCCTTATATATTAGCCAAATAATCTTTACTTCAGCTCTTTAATGTAGCTCAAAGAACCAAGAATGACATGTGGAGTTACTTATAGTTCTTTATTGTTGTTTGCCTAGAAACGGAATCTTGCCAGACTAAAGGAACTATCTGAATAACTATTAGATATTCTCTGTGAATTGCTAGAGAGGGTTTGCCCTCATCCTCTTCCCGCCTACTGACATTCCATTTCCACTTTTTCTTTGCTCCCCCCCCCCCCCGGAAACAACCCTTTCTTCCTGCAATTTCATACTACATTTCACCCTTTTAATGAGCAGCAGACCACTAGCCTTTCACCTTTGATAGGCAATGGCTTAGTTTTTCCTCTCTTCTAACCAATATAGTGTATAATTAACATATCTGAAATTATTGGTGCTTTTTTCCAGAAACATTATTTCTATTTCTGCAAATTCAGCTTTTCTCACAATATGTTCTGCCTATACTATAAGCTTGCTTCAGTAGGCCCCATTCTAAAAGGATTTATTAATATGGAAAAAACTACAGTTTTCATTGCTGGGTCGTATTGCGGCCATTAAAATGAACATTTTACCTAAGTTTCCTTTTCTATTTCAGATGATACCTATTCTAAAAAATGAACTTAACTTGAAAGAATGGCAAAGAGATCTAAACCGCTTTATTTGGGAAGGCAAGAAAGCCAGAGTTAGATTTAAGATTATCCAAGACATTAGAGAACGTGGAGGACTTAAAGCTCCAAATTTGATACTATATTATGATTCTTGTGCATTAACATGGATGACGGATTGGATTAACTTGTCCAACAAAAGGATATTGAATGTTGAAGGATGGGACTTGTACTTTGGGTGGCATGCTTATCTTTTCATGCAGAAAAAGATAGATAAAACTTTTAGAAATCACATAATAAGGGCTGCTTTGTTAAGAGTTTGGCAAAAGTATTTTTTTAAGTTTGATGTTAAGCTTCCAATTTGGGTGATACCATCACATATTTTTCTGACTATACCTAGATGTGTGGTGATGGAGGCGCCTTCATATAGAG